CGTCGGGGGCTGTCGGGCCGCCTGGCTGCCCGCCGGCGCAGGAGTGGTATCGGGTCTAATTGCCGTCAACGAATGTCACCGGCAGAAGGAAAAACAAAAGCCGCCTCCAAAGATCGCGGAGCAGAATTTGGCAAGGCTCCTAAAGACACCAATTAGCAAAGGCTAAACCCATTAATGAAGTGGCGGCTCTCTGGTTTCAGCCAGGTGGTGCAGATCAGAGCGCCTGTATCTGCAGCAGAGCTCCGCTTCCCTCCAGCCAGGACCTCACAGCAAACCTCCACATCAATAATACGCTTAATGGATCTCATTAGGGCTGGGGCCACGAGTCCCGGCTGGGGAGCTGAGGGGAGCAGGGGGGCAGCGCTCCCCCCGCCGCACCGCGGAAAGACGGGGTCCCCCTTCCCCCGTGGGGCGGTGGCGGGTACCGGGGGCTCCCTGCTACCTGGTTGAGCTCACGGGTTTGTCCAAACTCCATTTTTAGCCGGCTCCTTTGAAAAAAAACCGACACCTTGGCATCGCCTCGCAGTGCTCATCAAACCCACCCACACTTTCTTCTCCCCTCTCCGGACTTCCCCCCCCCCCCCCCCCCTTCCTCTGCGCACCCTCAGCCCGCCGAGCTACGAGCATCCTCGGCCGAGTGCACACCCTCGAGCCGGGGCTGTGGAAGTAGGAAGGAAGGGGCTTTCTGAAAATTGATTTAAAAGAAAGGCGTTCAGACCTCACCTCTGTAAAAGCGAGCAGGGGAGAAGGAAGGATATATTTCCGTTTCAGCTAGGGGAAAACGTAAAAAAGAGGAAAAAATGAAAACTGGGGTAGGATAAGCTCGGCCGAGGCGAGCTAGAATATTTAGTTAATGGAGGTGGACTATGAAAGGAGACTTCATGTTTCTCTCCGAGGAGTCTCTCCAGGTCCGCAGCCGAGAATACACACAGCAAACGTTGTGCTTGAATTATAGCTGAGGGTTTGCTTTATTTGAATTCACTGGTGTTTATTTAAGAAAGTGAATAAAGGTTTTGTGTAAACAGCCATTATTTCTGATGAGCGCTCAACAGCAATAAGAAGGGGGTGGCTTTTTTAGTCGAGATTGTGGCAAAAGTTGACATTTCGGAGATTGCAGTTTGTCTTGCCGACGCCAGGCAGTCCCGAGGCATGAACTGCAGGGAAAGCTGTGTGTGCCTCTGAGTGTGAAACGGCGATGCCGAGCGAACCGGGGTCTGAAAACAATTATTTTTTAAGACATCAGCTTAAGCCCGACATTAAAATAAAATAAAAATATTTTCCTAAGGAGCGGGGCCGGTCTCGCTCAGCTAACGAGGGAGGTGAACTCAGGTTTCGCTGCCGCCTGCTCCGCACCCGCGGGGTTCGGCGGGGGAGGGGGGGGGGGGAGGGAAACACCGACTCGGGGGGGCCGTGGAGGATAACCCCCCCGCTCCTTCTGCCGCGTGGAGCAGCGGCGGACCGCAACGCCAACTCCTCGTCCAGCCCTTTTTGCACCGTAAATCACTTGCTTGAAATATTGCGTCTGTTTTGTTTTTATTATTGTGATTTTTTTTTTTTTTTAACGTAGCTGTTATTTCCGAAGTTGACTCGAGTCTCTTTGGAGATGAGAGGTTTCTGCTAAGAAAACCGGCGAGAGGAGAAGGATCTCGTTGGCCTTAAGAGAGCGCCCGGGGAAGATGGGGGCTATGGGTGAGCTGCCCCCCGGGAAGGCGCTGGGCAGGAGCTGGCTCTGTGCATCCCTGCGGGTGTGGATGCTCTCAGATGGCGCTGGGATGTCGCAGCGGCACGGAGAGGCCTCCCGCTTCGTTATTAATCCCGTTTCCCACACATGCCACGCAGGGACGAGACAGGCAAACCTCTGCTCTCCGTGCGGCAGCGTGTATCGCTCCCGGGGTTCCGTCTCTTCGTTTGAAATAAGCCCGAAAAATCTTTGCCCGGCACCCGGGAGGGGAAAGCGGAGCGGGTGTGTGCCGGAGAGCCCAGCCTGGCCAGGAGAGGGGGGGTCGCGCCGGAGAAGCCCCTCCCGGCCTCCCCGAGGGGACTCCCACGGCCACGCCGGGCACGGGGAGCCGCGCCGACACGGCCCTGGTGCAGCCCGAAGGATTTGGGATCCGCTAGCGCAGGTCTGGAAGAGTAACAACGGATTTAAGGGCGGTAAAGAGACGGCCCGAAAAGCTGCGACCCCCAGTTTAAAGACCGTCGAGGAACCGGCTTGGAGGGGGAACCGCGGGCTCGGGCGTTTCGCCTGCAGAAATAAGCAGTATCAAAAGCCTTTCGTGTTATCAGGCGATAATAGAGCAAACAAAAAAGGGACACCCCCCAGGATTTCTTTGGACCAGTTCGGGGCGGGTGTTGCACTGCGCTACGGACAGGTCGACTTCGCCGACGAACGGCGATCGAGATGCCTGCAGTCACGACACTGTCACTTTTTTTTTTTTTTTCTTTCCCCACCCCCCGCAGAAATTGAGCAGTAACTGCAGCCTCACAGGACCGGGCAAACTCCCTTCGTTGTCGAGACGGGCACAAATCTCTCCATCCACACATCTTTTCCCAAACTCGTTTTCGTGGATTTGTTCTGTCTGCCCGAGGACATGCACAACGGGAATATTCGGGGAGATTATTTTTTTTTCCCTATTGCTGGAGGAGAAGGGAAAAAAATACCTTCCCGGCCCCGCCGCTTGCCCAGAGCAGCACTCCGAAGTGCCCGGAGCACCAAAGCCTGGAGGCGGGGGGGCAGGGAGGCAAAATCGGGCGCAGGGCGAAGGAATTTTATCCCAGCTCTTTTATTCGGATCTGAGCATCTTTCTCCGTAGCCTGAATCACTACAGTTTCCCCCCCCCCCCCTCCCCTTTTGCCTCGTTATCTTAAAAAGGTGCCATAGAGGTGCTGCCCCTGCTCTCTCCCCGGCCCGGGGTCCAGGGGGGCATTGCTTTCCCTTTTTTGGGGGAGGCCGGTGGGAGCCTGCCCCCACGCAGCCAGCCCTGAGCTTGGAGGAGGCGCAGATTCCTCTAACCCAAGGGAAGAGAAACTCTTTCTCGACGCGCTTTTCCTTTCTCATCCGACAAAAGCCACCTCAAACCCCTCTCCCCCGCGCGGGTCAGTCTTTAGGAAGCAAAACCAGGAGTCAAACAGTGTCCTGCGTGTCCGTGAGCCGCACCACTGTGGTTTATCGGAGGAGAAACAATCATGTTTCGCGGGACATCGATCCCGCGGCTTCCCTTGCTCTTAGGGGGAGTTAACCCCCCCGGCAAGGCCGGCGCAGACGGGCGCGGCAGCGGCCCCAGGAGCCGCCGCTTTCTGGGGCTGGCAGCGAACTGCCGGGCCCGCTCCGCGCCCCCAAAAGCCGTCACATTCCCCATTTCCTCCCTGACGGGGTTTTAAAGACAGAACCGACTTACAAGCCCCTTACAGATCCTTCCCCCCCGGTTCCCTGTCCCAGCAAGGTTCGGAGGGAGCCGGCGCCCCGGGTGCGCTGCCCTGCGCGGGGGCTGCGCTCATACAGGGGCGCAGCAGAGATTTGGGCGCGCCCCCCTCCCCTCCCCTCCCCCCCCCCCCCCCCCGGAAATTTTCCTGCCCGTCGTGGATCTGCCCGCTCGGTTACGCCTCATTCACCACTTCGCCCGTCTCCCCTCCTCGCCCAGCGACGCGGCCTCTTGGCTCGCCGTTTGCCCCAGCTCCTTTTGCCTCAGCGCTTGCGTCGGGGCGACGCTGTCGGCGTTTCTTCCACTCTCCTGCCGGAGCCCCCCTGCTAACGGGGGTGGCCCCCAGGACCCGGCAAACCCCCCCCCGGCCAAGGATTTCTCGCCTGAGCCCTCAGGGAAGGAGCAGGCGAGGGCCAAGCTCTCGCCTGCCTCCGCATTGCCGAAGGACAGCGGGAATTTGTCGGTCCTTCGCCTTATTTCTCCGTCTCCCCTTCCGTTCTAACGGTGTCAGAGGCTCAGCGCCCATCGGCCCAGGATTGGGGGGGGCGGGGGGGGGGAGCATTGCTTCTCCTGCCCTCTCCCTAACCTCCCTGGGCAGATTCAGGCCTCCCCCAGCCCCGCGCGTTATTTGGAATCGGAATGGCTCTGATGAGGGCCTCGCACAGGGCCCCGAGGCAGCAAAACGCGCTGCCGAGCGGGCAGGGCCGGGGGGGTCCCACCGCGGCAGCTCCCTTTTTCATCCACGTTGCTGGGGGAGGGAGAAGGGGGGGGTGGGGGGGTGAGGCAGCCTGGCTGAGAACCGGTCCCCCCCGTCCTCCCCCGTGCCCCGGGAGGCGCGGAGCAACCGAGCGCCGCGGCGCTTTCTATTTTCCCGAGGAGCGGAGCAGGCGGATCCCGGCCGGGACGCCGGGGGAGCCCCGACGCAGCCGCCCCCCCTCAGCGCTCCCTCCCGGCGGGAGGGGATGGGGGGGGCACTCAGAATCCGCGGCGCGCGCAGCGCCTGCGTGACGTCACATCGCGCCCCTCGGGCCGCACGGCCACGCTGTGACGTCACAGAGCACTACTGCCCACTCCCTGCCCCCTCCCCCCCCCCCCCGCCTCGAGGAATTGGGGAAAGGAGCGCGGCAAATCGGAGCGACACCGAAGCAAAGCGAAGCAAACACACACTTCCCCCACCGCCCCCACCACCCCAAAACGGCCCCGCCGGCTCTTGGCAGCGCCCCTGAAAGACGCGGGGTGTCAAACAGTCTGGTCCCGTCTTGCATCAAAAATCAAAAGCCACCTCACAAGATACACGGACGTGGGTACGCACACGCGGATCTCTACGGATGTAATTGGCAACTTTCTCACCGGGGGCACGATTTTGCGTAGTCCAGTCCGATCCTTGTCATCGCCTCCGTTAGAAAAGGAAGGGGGGGGTGGGAAGGAAAAAAAAAAAAAAAAAAAAAAAAAGGAAAAGGAGAAGGCTGCCTCGGGAGGCTTTCAAGGCGAGGAGAGGCAGCGGCTGCCTTTGCGCGGGGCAAAGGAAGAGGGGGACAGCCTCGCCGGCCCTCTGCCCTGCTCAACAGACTGACGTGGTTACAAACCATAGCAAACATTTTATTTACAGGATAGATATATATATATATTTATATATTTTGTCAGTGCAGTATTTCTTGGCCGGATTATTCGAAGCAACACGTTGCAACCAATGAGGACGTTGGCAAAATACTTCACATTGTAAATTGTTTGAGGGGGAGGAGGGGAGAGGGGCGGGCGGGAAGAGAGAGATTTCGGAGCAAGTTCTTGGAGTCCCACGCTCGGGTTTTCCTGGAGAGGACAAGGGGCGGGAGACGGAGAATAAAATAAATTTAAAAAAAAAAAAAAAATAGAGAAATCCCGCTCTCCTGCGAGCAGCGTGGAGGGAGAGGCGGCCGCCTCACGCAGAGCCGTCCCAGGGCCGGGGCTCCCCGCTCTTGCCCGTCTCCCCGGCCCCTCGCCCCGGGGAGGTGCCGGTGCCGGTGCCGGTGCCGGTGCCGATGCCGGTGCCGGTGCCGGGCCGGCCTCGCCGCGCTCCCGGGGCAAAGGAAGGGAGATAAATTAGCGCGCAGGTCCCGGGCGCGGGTGCTGCGGGGCCGCCCCGTCTATAGGCCGCTCCGCGGCTCGGGGCTGGCGGCGGCGGCGGCGGGGGGCGGCGGGGAGGGGCGGCCGGTGCTGCCGGGGGACTTGCCGGTGCCGGCGGCGGGCAGGCTCCGCTCGGCGCTCTCAGTCCGTTCCGTGTCGCTGGGGGTCATGTCGAGGGAGTCGGCGTCGCTGCTGTCGCTGTCGCCCTCGGAGCGGCTGGGGCTGCGCTCGGGCTCCCCGGCGGCGGCGGCGGCGGGCGGCGGGACGGGGCGCTGGGCCTCCGGCTCCGGCTCCGGCGGCGGCTCCTTCTCCTTCTGGGCCTGCGCCTCCTTGGAGTGCCGCCACTTCATCCGCCGGTTCTGGAACCACACCTTCACCTGCGGCCGCGCCGCCCTCAGACGGGCAGCACGGCCCGCACCGCGCACCGCGCACCGCGCACCGCACCGCGCACCGCACCGCGCACCGCACCGCGCACCGCGCACCGCACCGCGCACCGCGCACCGCACCGCGCACCGCACCGCGCACCGCGCACCGCACCGCGCACCGCACCGCGCACCGCACCGCGCTCCCACCCGCAACGGGCAGCCGGGGGAGAAAAGGAGGCGCCGGCCTCGCCTCCCTCTGCTCGCACACCTGCGCAACTGGGGCGGCTTTAGGTTTTCTCTCCTCCTAGCTCAAGTGTTTAAATACCAAACGCCCCCCGCTGTGTTTTGGGCTGTTGTTCCTATATATATATTTTTTTTTTTTAATCTCTCCTTCTTCTTCCAGGAAACCAAATCTTGCTCAAGAAACCACAGCGTTATACAATTCTGTGCGCTAAGGGCCCTCAATAGTGGAATCATTACAGAGTGGCATTTAATGATTCCGTTTGAAGAAGAGTTCTCACTTCCCCAGAACTAATGATTTCACAACGCGGGGAGAGATTTTTTTTTTTTTTAACAAACAACAAAAAAAAATAAAAATAGTGTGTTCTCTTCTACTTCCTTTGACCTAAACTGCCTCCTACCGCGAGTTGCACTTCAGTAAAGCGCACTCGGGTGATCTGCCCCGGCCCCACTCGCCTCTCCGCTCGGCCTGCTCCGCGGCGGCCAAAACGAAGGCGAAAGCTCCTTGCCGGGCCACTAAACGCCACGGAACCTGTGTGCAGGAGATGCTTGGGGCAAGACCACGCTCCTCAGCCAGCCCCGCCAAAGATAAGGAAGGGAAAACGCTTTGCAAACGCGGCGCCTCCCTCCCTCCCCCCCCCCCCCAGTATCCCTCTAAACTGGAAGTAAGATTTTAAATAAACCCGAAGCCGTTCTTACTTGAGCATCTGTCAGGCCCAGCATCGCCGCCAGTTGCTTTCTGTCCGGTTTGGTGACATATTTCTGGATTTCGAACCGTTTTTCTAAACCTTTCCTCTGCAGGTTGGAAAACACAGCCCTGGACCAGGAGCGTTTCCTCTTGTACGTCTGGGGCAGCGTGTCCTTGGTTAAAACGGCATATGGACCTGGGTGGGGGGCGGAGGAGGGGGAAGCGGGAGGAGAGAGAGAAGGAGACGGTGTTATTAATACCAATGCCTACAAGGGAGCATTAAATCGATCAAAATAACACTCGGCCTGTGGTGCGGGGGGAAGGCTGGGCCCTGCCTGCCGGCTGGCTACCAGCCCTGCCCGCCTCTGATTGCTCGGGCAAGGATGGAGCTCTCCGGGACCCGAATTTCTTCCTCTTCCCCCCCCTTCCCACCCCTTCTCTCTCGGCCCAGGTATTAGTTTTGTACTAGATGGGATGGTCCTCTGGGTCAGGCCTTAGCCAGATCTTTCTTTCACACAACACCCCACCCCGCCTCCCCGCAGCCCGGCTTTCGCCCAAAATCTGAGCCTCGCTAGAAAACATACGCCCTGGCCGTTCAAAAAGGAGTCTCCAAGAGGAGAGTGCCTGGGCCGGGGGGGGGCTGCTCCGTGACGGAGGGCCCTGCGCCACAGGAGGGTCGACGAGGGATGAGATGTACCTGGAAAAGTGTCTTGAAACTGGTGCTGCACTGAGCTCCTTGGGTTTGTGTTTAAGGGACCCAGAATAGCAGAGGCCTCGTTAATGGGGTCTAGAGACGCGAAGAACTGGCCGGTGGAAGGCTGCATGTTGGGGAGATGAACCCCAGTTTGGCGGCTGGTAGTTAATAAGGAGGTCAGATCTGTGAGCACAGGAATAAGGAGAGCTCTGTTATACCGCGGTCGAAACCGACTGCCCGGCACGCTCCGGGCGGAGGGGGGGTCCCTGGCCGAAGGGGCTGGGGGGGGGACACGGGGGGACCGAGCAGCCGCCTCCTCGCCCCGGGGGCTCCCCTCGGGGGCGGCGGCCGTGCCCCGGCATTCAGACACCCTCCGGTATATTTACTGCCTTGGTCAGGATGTTTACGCGCCGCGAGGGGAGATGGATTGCAACGAAAGCCTTTAAAACGGGCTGTGCCCCCTGAGGCCAAACCCCTCTGTCTGCTTTGGGAAGCGGGGGCCGTTTCAGTCGCTATTTTTACGCTATCGCTATTTTTCCCGGCGGCGTAAATCCTGTGCCGGGGGCTGCTGCCGTGCGCGGAGCCGGGCGGGGGGGGCTGGGAGGCGGGGGGGGGAGCTGCCTATTTTAGTGAGCGCTATTAGAAACTCGGCTTTATCACGCTTTTTTTTTTTTTTTTTTTTTTTCTTTTCTTTTTTGGCAAATAACTCTTTTCTCGGCTAGATCATACAGTTTTCAAATCGCGGGTATTTTCGCTATATATAAGAATAGAGTAAAGGAAAGAGCACCAAGAGCGCTAGCACGGAAAGCGGGCAAGCCAATTTCTCTACCTCTCAGCGTGTTGCCTTCCTTGACTTTGGGGTCAAACTCCGCCGATAAAATGCGGTCGATGCCGAATTTCAGGTCCTTGCTGGCGGGGGCCGGCGCCGAGCCGTGCGTGGGGCCGCCCGGCAGCCGGGCGGGGGCCGGGCCGCCCGCCGCCGCCGCCGCCACGGGGGACCGGTGCTGCGTGGGGCGGTGGTGGTGGGAGTGGGAGTGGTAGGCGGCGGAGAGCGGCGAGAGGCGCGGCGGGAAGGCGGCGGCGGGGGCGTCGGGGGCCACGACGGGAGTGGGCCGGAGAGGCGAGGCCGTGGCGTGGAAGGGACCGCCGCCGTGGTGGACGGCTCCCAGAGCCGCCGGCATCCCGGTGCCGGGACCTCCGGGCAGGCTGTCGGCGGGTCCTCCCGCCGCCTCGCCGCCGGCGTGGAGGATGTCGGCGATGCAGAAGGAGGGTTTCTTCGCCGCCGCGGCGTCCAGCGGGAAGCAGCCGCCGGCGGCCGGCCCCGGTGCCGAGCAATACGCCGCTGACCACAAGCTGAAGTTGGAGGCGTAGAAAGGCGCCAGCCCGGCCGTGTACATCCTGGCCGCGGAGGGGACGCGCCGCTCAGCTCCCGGGTGCTCGCCGCGGAGCTGCCCGCTGCCCCGGGAGCATGGGGAGGGATGGAGGGGCGAGAAGCGGCTGGCGGAGCGCTTGCCGGAGGGGCGATGGAGGGGGGGGGTGGGGGGGGTGAGGAAAAACCAACCACCACCAGGAAAAGAAGAGGGGGAAAAAAAAAAAAAAAAAAAAAAAAGAAAAAATTATAAAAAGTCGCCAAAACCCACGGCGAGACGGAGAGAGCGAGCGGGCGAGGAGCGCAGCGGCGCAAACAAAACAAACCCAAAACCAAACCCCCTTTCCTCGCACTGGGGGAAAAAAAAAAAAAAAAAAAAGAATATATCCACCCCTCCCCAAAACTTTCTCTGGCAGCGACACTCCCGGCTCCAGAGCAGCCCTCGCTCCCTCCCCGCGCCCAATCCGCGATCCGCGGGGCCGGGCAGCACCGCCCGCCGACACGCCCACGCGGGGCCGGGTCGCGGGTGCGGGCCACCGCGCCTCCAGCGCGCAACTGCGAGGTGGCCCGCACTCGCGACCCGGCCCTGCCTGGTTTGCCCCGCAAGGTACCTACCCTCCCCCCCCCCCCAATTAAATTCCGCCCTCAACTTTGAACACCAACAGGCACCCACCTCCAACAAAAAAAAAAAAAAAAAAAAAAAAAAAAAAAAAAAAAAAAGAAAAAACAGAAAAGGCAAGGGCCCTTCGCTTGCCGCCGCAATTTCCAAACGTTTCAAAGAAACGCGCAGGAAAATTCTTCTTCGCCGTCGGAGGCAGGTCTGTCCTCTTGGAAACGATTCCCAAGGAAATGTGTTTCCTTCCCAGATAAATGAGCCTGGGATAGTCTGGAAGAAAATGAGTCTGTGCTGGTGCACGCAACATAGGTATTTATGAGAGCTCCGAGCTGTTCTGGGCCCAGGGCACGTTGGATCCTGCATTACCAGAGACTAATTAATTAACCGTATTTTGTCGACAATATAATTTTACAGATTTTTACTGTGTTCTCCAGCCCAGTGCCTGTGTCTGCTTCCACACAAATTTCACCTAAAAAACTAGTTTCTAATTTTGCAAACCTTTGACAACTGAATTACCCCTTTTTTTTTTTTTTTTTTTTTTTTTTTTTTTTTTTAAGAATACAATCATAAACTATATTCGCTGAAATAACCTAAGGACAGATTTATCAAAGGGCCTTTTATGCTTATTTTCTCCCCTCTAACATCCACATTTGTCCCAACCTGACTCTGAAAAAAAAAAAAAAAACAAACCAAAACAAAACCAAACTTCTTTGATTTTAGTTTCACGTTAATCAGTCGCTGCCGTTTTGAGCCGGCTGCTGGGTCGGACGATTGCAGATTTGCTTTGATTTTGATTAAAAAAAAAAAAATTTATTTTTGTCCAAATAGCTTCCCAAACTCTTAATGCTTTCGCGGGACAGCCAGAAAGGTAAACTCTTTTTCTTTCGCCAGGTATGAAGACGTAGCTTCTGTGTGAATATTGGAACCACCTGCGAGCGAGTGTGAGCCCACTCCTCCGCACGGGTGAAGGTGGGGATGGTTCCCCGGGAAAAGCCACGCACCGCTTTGCTTTGCTTTGGTTTTTATTAACGAGACGAAACCGAAAAATAAAGATGGGACGGCTTGCCAAGATGTGTCCGAAAACCGAGGGCGGCTAAAGAAAAGGTTGATTTAGGTTTGAACTTTTCCTGCTTCGACAGCGGAAAGCCCCTTTGCCTTGCATCTTCCCCCCCGCCTTCATCCCCGCCCGGCGCGGATGACCCGAGCGCCAGCTCATGGATCTTAAATCGGATCAAACGACTCCGGTTTCCCTCGCGTTTCCAGCGCCGGGCAGAGCCTCGCCACCAGTCCGCCTGAGGGAAGGGCAACGAAGGCAGCTCTGCCCGCTGCATCCCTCCGTGAAAATATCGCCGTGATTGCCACGGACACCGCTGGCGTTGTTGTACCACCCCGGGGCTGCTCGCCAGGCAGCCAGGGGGGAAAAAAAAAATAATAATAATAAAAAAAAACAACAACAAAAAACCCAAAACAAACAAAAAACCCCCCACGTACATACACATCACCCCCAAACCCAGGGGTTTTCTTTATTTTGAGGAGCTTGTTTCAAAGCTCCGCTGGCAGCGAGCGGCACCGGGGGATGCGCCCGTTTGCGCGGGCCCCGGGCAGCCCCGACGCGGGGCACGGCGGAGGTTGCGCGGCCCCCGGCGCTGCCGAAGCCCGGCAGCGCTCTGGTCCCGCGGGCCGCCGCGCAGAGAGGCTCTCCTTCCGCGCTGCCATCCCGCGGGGGACCAAAATAACCCGAAAGGAAGCCCTAAACGCGGCGCGTTAAACCACTTGACCCCCCGGGCTGGGCCTCGGGAGGGCGGGGGGGTCTGGGGGGGGTCCCAGCCGCGGGGGCAGGTGCCTCCCCCGGGGCCCGCCCGCTCCGCGCCCGGCTCGGCAGCGCTGCGCCCCCGCGCAACTTCCGCGGGGGAAACCAGGAGCACCTGCCTCCCTCCCCCGCCAGCCTGACACCCCTCCCAGGGGACAGGGCTGTCCCCTCTCCGCAGGGGCCTCCGCAGGCTCCCCCTGCCCGCGCATCTTCCTCCCCGGAGGCCGCGGGGGGAGCGGGGCTGCGCGGCCGCGCTGGCCGGGGGAGGCGACGGCCCCTCCTCCCCGCGCAAGGAGGGAGAAGGCTGCAGGAAACCCGGGGCTCGCTGCAGTCCAGGTCATCTCCTGTTTTTTGAGAGGTTCCAACTCTGACTAAATGAGCGGATGTGCCTGCGAGATTTGTCCCAAAATAGAAGCGGCTTTAGTATTTTAGGATACAGCAGAAATTCTTATTTCTTCCGGAGAAAAACTTCATAATGAGCGCGAGCACTTCCCTTTTCAATATTTGTGCAACTTTATCTCGACCAGCAAGTTGCTTTGGTGACGCAAATCCGCCCTTGTGTATTGCAACTACAAAAATAAATGCAAGGAAATCAATTCCCTTCTAGCAATGAAAACATAAATATACAGCTGCGACTTTCCCCTTTAATCTTGCTTTCCGAGGGACTGGAGAAGGAGGCGAATGAACTGTGAGGCAGGAGCGATGTTTTGCTTTTTTTTTTTTTTTTTTTTTTTTGAGGAATGGAGTCTCGAAGGAATTTTTTTTTATTAGTTTTTTTTTGGTTTTGTTTTTTTTTTTTTTTTTTTTTTTTTTTTTCCCCCCGAGGCCGACAAATGAGGTGGGAAAAAAAAAAGTTCGAGTTCTTATGAGGGGAAAAATGGAAGGGCTAACCCCGAAGCGCTGCAGCTCCCGGTGCCCGCTGCCGGGCACAGGGCCGGGAGCATCCCGGAAAGGGCCGGGCCCCGCCTGCCCGCGCCCCACAAGGAGGACGGGCCGTTTTTTCGGCTCTCCCTTCCCCTTGGAGCTCCCCGTCCACGCGTCGAGCTGCCGGAGAGGAGCCGAGCCCACGGAGCCTGCCGGGGATCCCGCAGCCGGAGCCCCCCGGCCGCCCCCCTCCCCCCCCCCCGCAGCCCGGCCGGCAGCCGGCCCCCGAGGTGGGCTGTTCCCGCGGCCAGCCGCGCTTTTTTCCGCGGGGGTGAGTGGGCTGCGCGGCTCCCAGCCCTCCGGGGATGCTGCCGGAGCCGCCCCCCGACCCTCCTCCTGCGCCCACGGCCGAAGCGCTTTGCCCGCTGGCCTTTAGGCTTATCTATATGTCGTCCGGTTTACGCCTATATCCGTATGCAGAAACGCATATAGGTAATATATAAACCCAATGAGAAACAGTTGGAAAAATCCTACTCGGTCTCTAGGAGTACTTTAAAAAACAATTATTTAAACCCCGTTGCAAACCCTCCAGGGAGATGCTTTGATGGGGTGGCGTTACCGGGATCGCTGCCGTCCTCCCGTGTCCGTGGGTCCCGGCCGCGCTGCGCAGCGCCGAGCACCCTGCGGGCCCCCGCCCGCCCCGGCCCAAAGCCCGTTCTCTGTCGCCATCGCCTGGCGAGAGGGCCCGCGCCGGGCCCGGACCCTCACCCAAGGCACCCCTGGGACCTGGCTCTCCTCACCAAATCCCCCTTCTCCTCCCCACCCACCCCCCCCACCCCCACCCCGGTCCCGGGCACCTGCGAGCAAGGCACAAGCAAGTTTTGGGGAGCCAAGTGTAAAAAAAAAAATAAATAAAAAGGATACTCCGTGTGCCCAAAGCTTGTCGTTGCAGAGTGGTCAGGAGCATTTTGCAGATTGCCTGAGGAGAGGGGGAATGGGGGGGGGGGGGCGCTGCTGCCAGTGCTGCAGCATCCCCGGGGTCACCAAACCTGACCGCAGGCCGAGACACACACACACCCCCCCGGGAATCCAGAGCCGGGGGGAGGCCACCGGCTTGAGCCGCAGGGCCAGTTGGGCTTCTCTCAGCTGAGCAACAGTTTGTTATCTGAAATGCTCAAGAGAAGAGCAAGCGCCCAGAACTGCCCAGAACCACAAGTTAATTAAGTGACTAAACTGGTCAACTCCTTGTCATTTCCCTTCCCTTGCTTCTTGCTGAATACCTGGGCCAGAAAATAATGACTGATGTTATGACATCAGCCGAGCGTAAATGGAAAGCACCTGAAAGCAGGTGGGACCTGGGTTTCTGTGTGGTAGGACAGGATTTTAAGTCTCCTGTGGGTGAATTTGCTCTAGGGTTTGCGTTTGGGTCTGGATGTGCTTTTGAAAGGGAATCACTGAACCATGAGCGCTTGCAGCTTTGCAGCACGGAGAGGTCTCGGGGTGCGCAAGCAGGTTTCCTTGATGGGGATTGAGCCCACAGGTCATGCTAAAATTACTGTGAAGCAAAATCCCTCTAAAATGCCTATATTGTAGCTGTCTGAAAGCTCCATGGGATTTTCTGCATGTGAGCAGTCCTGAGCGTTGTCAGGATGTTACAGCAGAACAGGTCCCACTGGGTAGGTCCGTATGCTCGAGCAGACCGAAGCCTGCGACTCTCGGGACAACGCCCCAGCCCCTGGGCTGGAGACTTGTTCTCACACTTGTGCATTTGTACTCTGTGTCTTTCTTTCCACTGCTGGTTTGATGAAATACATTCAATCATGGGAAGCTGGCACGTTTCAAGCAAAGAGAGAATTTTTGCATTCTCCCAAATGCTGTGTAGTCCCTCAAGTCCCTTCAGACAGAGGG